CGATTTACATTGCTAATCACCGTATATCTTATATTACTGCAATCCTCACTACGTAATGTACATCACTTAACCATACTACGACTACGGTAAATTTTGATATGCATCTTAAAAGTTTACAATTAGAGCAAAGGGCAACAAGCCTCAAGGCCATCAATCCGTGGCAGACTGTGTTCAAAAAGCATGTAAAGTGGGTGGGTATAGATGGGTATGGCATCCCGAAAGTCACCATGGACGGGTGTGGGTGGGTGAAGCCCGTCCGAGTAAAGCATGGGTACCGAACATTGGCGGAGCCAAGGGGGGGCACGTGCCCCCCCTAAAAAAATGAGAAAAAAAAAAAGGAATATAGAGATAAAACCAAGTTCGAAATTTCAAAAATTAAATCGGAGACCATATGAACTCTGATTTCAGCAAACTTACAATCGAACTGAACGTGTCGAAAATGCGAACACAACGACACCAAATTCGACTCAATCCGAACCCAAATGACTCCAAATCAAATACTCAAAGCATATTTAGAAGGTTTAAACCATAATTTGGATTATCAAAAGGTTTCCAAATATGACATGCTTATAGTCGAATTGAGCGGCTAGACGAGATGAATCCAACGAGCCCAAGATCGTTGAATTCTGATATCACTATGACATTTAAATGACCAATAAACGGTCCACGATAAAAAAATTTAAGATCGACCGTCCATTTAAATCACTCTCAATTTAATTTCCTATTCATTTATATTTTTTTTCCTAGGTTTATATTAGCCTAATCATGTATTGATTCGATCTTAAAAAGATTTTATGATTTGTTTTTGTGCAATGAGATTTTTAATATTACATATTTAGTTAATATATTGAATTCATTCTAGCAATAATCAAGTGATTTGATGATTGGAAATCATATTGTGAAAAAAAAAAATTAAGTCACTATCAAAGTTTTATCATTTTTAAAACTGATTATTTTGATCCCAAGTCCAGATGTAAAAAATTGAAGGAAAATAAAAAATAATAATTTAGGCTCCCCTTAAATACATTTTCTGACTCCGCCACTGGTACCGAACTAGGACCCCATGTAGAGCTTTGTTGTCCACCCTCATTATTCGTTCATAAAAAAAAAAAAAAAAAAAAAAAAAAAAAAAAAACTTCTAGCAATATTGGGTTAGCGTATGATAATGACGCATAATATAGATAATATAGATGTATCTAAAGCAACAATCATCTGCAGTGTTGCATAAAGTAATAATTTGTTCTAAGATTTTGTAACCGCCTTTGAAATTTTTATCAGCAACCGTCAATACACGCCAGAAATTAGTACGTATGGGTCCGGATGCAGCTCTCGTCCGGATTTTAATGTGTACAAGCCAAAAGTCCGTGAAGAAATTGGTATAAAAGGAAATGGGCATGGAGAAAGCGTGGAAAATTTTTAGCGGAAGAAAAAGAGAAATTTTATTTTAGGTGCGGAATCGAGACGACGACCTAAACGCTGGCGTCGGAGAATGGTCCACGTACACGCTGCTGATCTTCGCGCCGCCCTCCAGGCTGCGGCGACCGCCTGTTACCTAAATCCTCTCCACTCATGGACTGGCGACGACCATCGCAGGAAGCGGCCCGCGGCGCGGTTTGTGGTACTGCGCTCTGCAATCCCTTCCCGGAGGCCGTTCTCTGCATCGATTGAACCCTCCACTACGGCCATTGTCGGTGGGGGCGGCGCTTTATCTTGGGTTGAGAAAGGGAAGAAACCGGAAATCTGCACTGCAGACGAGCTCCATTACGTGCCGGTTCCTGGCACTGATTGGAAGATCGCCCTCTGGCGTTATCTCCCCTCTAATGAGGTGATTGAGTAGTGTTGATTATTTTGGGCTTCTTTTGTATGATTGAGTGTTGTCGATAATTTCGGATTGTCTTCTGATGGGGATGGGTTTTTGTTCTTAGGCGCCAAAGAGGAATCACCCATTGATGCTTTTGTCCGGCGTGGGGACGAACGCGATTGGATTTGATCTATCTCCTGGAGTGAGTTATTTCTTCTATAATTTCTTTTTAGCTATTGTTCTTGTTGTATTTCGGATGAGGATTTATGAATAAGACCCATTTTTACGGAGGAATTTCTCTGGGTTTGTTTGACCATACGCTCATTACTGTTTTTATCGGCCTGAGATCACATACAGAGAAGGAAAACAAACGAATTTGTTGAGATGCTTGTTCATGTATGAACAAGTATACAGCAATTGAAATGAAATTGCTGCAGATTCAGAAAGCAGAAATGCAGAGAGCAATTACATAGCAGAGAAATGAAAAACAGAGAGCTGAACTTACTATATATTGTTCATTATCTTTTCCATATACAGAGGAGGTGTATATATAAGTATAAAGGTATAATAGGGCCTGTTGTTATATATTTTTTATCATCTGTACTGATATTAGAGAGGTTGTTACATATTAAAGGCTGAGTTTTTTATATAGCCGGTGACAGTAGCAGATAGATGATTGGGGATGGTTTTAGGTAGCAGACGTTGGAGGAGAATCTTGAGTAGTGCTGCTCATCTTATTTCCTTTATCAGAATTAAAAAGTACTGTAACTGTAGGACGCTTACTCGCGCATCTCTAAAATAAGTGAGATTCTCTAGCAATTAAATGCCAGGAGTTCATCTTCAGCGACTTTTGAATTTTTGGTCTACTTTGCTTTGCAATATGAGTGAGAGTTATTTTCATTATTCTTTTTGTAGCGAATTCTTTGCTTGAGACTACCACCTTGATAATTATGATTTTTTATTCAACAAAGTTTGTTTTGGCTAGAAATCTCTTGATGATTGGGCTAAACAGTCTTGTTAAATGTCATTTATTCTGTCGCTCATCTTTATTGTTGCATTCATGATACTTAGGGCCACAAAAATGAAACTTTTATGTTCCTACCTCTACATGAAATACCTTGGTTATCAGGCACTTGTGCTGTTGGATCCAATGCTTTTCAGTATAGTCACACCAAGTCCTTATTAGAAGTTTGGATTGAGCCTACATAAATTAATAAGAAAATAAGAGAGTTAAAATATCAGTCATAGAATCTCTTTGCTTAGTTGTGATTTACATGATTCTGGAGAAAGAAGTTATGCAAAAATCCTGACAACAGAGATTTGTTAGATAAGTACATAATGAGGTCATATGTTATTTGGTTAGACAATGTGTTCATACCCGATCAATGGCCTCCTTATGTATAGGCAAACCCAAAGTCAAGGGCACATGATAGGCTATAAAAAATAATAAGAAAATTACATTATTTGTCTTAGAGTAAATTGGGCTGCTATTTGTCTTCTAGGAGAGCATTGTGGATGAAGAAGGCGAGTAATCTTGGTAGCTAATGAGTTATCCTAGGGAGAACCTTTGGCAAATTCTAGCGAGAGCTCCCACTCTTCAAGTATTTCCTCTATATGAGTAGCCAGATTCTTTGGCAAGTAGGGCTTTGTTCCTCTGAAAACTTTTTGGAGCCTTCAGACAAGTTAAATATCTGAGATTTGAGTTCCTAGTTGGACTTGTTGCTCTTGTCGAATTGTCAAGCCTTAATCTGGAGCAAGGGCGGTAGGTTACTCAAGGCATTAGGCAACTTCTAGGCTTGGTGAGTTAAGCCAGTTTATAGTAAATGAGTTGTAGAACTCAATTAATGCTTTAAAATTGACTTATTCAACATGACCTAGGTGAATATAGATGTATGCTAGTTTCACTATTATCTTACTCCGTCGAGAAGAACAAGAGAATTAATGTGAAAAGCACCCATTTTTCCATTAAACAATGCATCTATAAGGTTCTAGAAAGTTATGGCAAAGTTTTTTGCACATTTGACAAGGATTAATGGGATAACTGATATGCAATCAGACTTAAGTTTATGAATATTTGAGTAGGGTTGACCATGAATGCCCTTTGATCATTCTTCATCTTTAATGTTCAAAGCTCTACAATTTGGCCTTCAATGTTCATAAAAAATGAACAGTTTTAATCATCTCTCCAACCAACACATCTTGGAGATGCTTAAACAGAGGTTCAGGGAAGCTTTGCTGCAAAGCGACCAAAGTTATTGATGTTGTTGAACCTTCTGTTAGTTTGGAACTTGTTAGAAAAAAGGTGAAGAATGAGTTAAAAATGGCACAGATGCACGAGCTTTGCCACCAAGCACGTTGGCCGACGGGGTGACTTTGACTATAAGAAATTTTTTATAGAGAAAACCTTTGTAAAGGTTAGAGTTATCGAGGCATTAGCCTTGTGCGAGGCTAAGAAGATTGCTTCATAACTTGCTTCTGAGAACACTTTAAGCGAGACTAAGATTGCTATCAAGAAGATTTTGGGAAGGCTAAGGATGCCATTGAGAGCTTTATGACTCCTATGATGGTCCCAATAACCATGATGGATGGTCTATTTAGAGGTGGGTATTCTTCCTTGGACAAGCTTGGTTTATATTTGTAAAGTATGCATATATGTTAGCTATTTTAGCATTTTATTCAAGCTCATGTGCCAAACAAGTAATATGTGATGAGTAGAGTATTGTTCCCACGTGGATCATGAAATTACTTTTAGAATTGTAATTTTTTATTTATATTACCATTAATTTTCTTCAACAAATTGGTATAAAACTTCTAATTTTGGACTTAATGTAATTGGAGAGAAAATTAGATTCATGGTTTCATCAAAACACTCTTCTTCAATTTTCTTCAATTTCATAATATGATTTTATTATTAAATTATAGATTGTTAGTCAAGGATAAAATTTGGGTGTCTTAGTGTTGGAATGGGTAGCCATTCGGCGTTGAATGATATAGTATAGTGCCTAGGAGTTATAGGCAAAATTTGGAAATTAATTTTTTCTCGTTCTTAGGTTCGTCCTTATCACTTTTGGCTCTAATGTATCTATTTCTTCACCTGTATTTGTGATATTATTAAATAATCATAGAATTTACCCAATATTTTATATTTTTAGTTGAAAACATGTTAGAATAATAAGTTATTTAGTGAGTAAAACTGATCAAATATATTCCATTTTTCATTTGATTTTTGCACTATCATGATGTTTGAGGTCAAGTTTGGATATTGCACCTTTTGAATGAATCTATTTTGTTTATGGACCTCATTGTGAATTGGTTCTACTATGGTCTTAACAACTTTGAGTATTTTTTGCTTAATGAGTGTAGTCAATTCTCAATATTAAGTTAATGGTTGGCATCTCCTATGTCAAAATCTGTCATTTTAGTTGCAAACCAAACAAAAATATTAGTATTTAACTAGAGGGTTGTGACATACTCTTCTTTATGCTCCAGGTTAAAATAAGTGGTGACTGGCAAAGCGCACATTAGGTCGTTATCTAGGACATTATTTAATGTTATAAGAAGTTTGAAGCCCAACTCCTATTTGAATTTTTTAGTTGTAGCACCAGCCTAGACATTGTCAATTGCCTTGAGGTGGCAAGCTCGTGATTGCAACAAATTGCCTTGTTGGTGATGGTTTTTGGTCTCTTGCCAAGAATTTTACTACTGCATGTTAAGTGAAAATGATCGGCTTGAATATATTGAGGAGAGGGCAGTTAAATATTGTGTTGTAAGTTAAGGGGTTGTTGATTATGATGAAGTCAACCATATGAATATATTGTTAAATGGGAATCATGACTTGTTGCTTCTTATGCTGAACACAAATCATAAAAGAGCCCAACAGTGGACGCCAGATGAGAAGAGTAAAGCCTCATAATATAAAAAAAAAAAATGCTTAAAAATAATGTTAACCTTACTCCCTATGTTGCTCAGAATGCTTCCAGTTTGGTAATTGATTATGAGAGCTGCAACAGTGATACATTGTAAGGCTTGCCGATAAATGATTGTCAGCTTTGGTTAAGGTTATGGTAACCTTCATTGATGATGAGTGAGAAGTTGAGGCAGCATAAACCTATTTGATCAAAGTCGCTTGAGAATATATTTCCTTGATGTTTTCATCTGCGACCCTAGTTGGAATATGCATTTTCTTCTTTTTTTTCCCCCTCTTTTTGTGCATTATCTTCTTGGAGGTGGCGACAATTCTTTGTATTATGTCCGTGATCCTTGTGGAAGACACTGGCTTTGGAGATGTCACGGGCATTGAGCATTGCGTGCAATAGCAATAGCTGACAGTAGTACTAATTGTCATGAATTGCATCAACAATTTTAGTGAAGATATACTTAGAGAAGAGTACAAGTCAGGTAGTGAGTTGATAATGGGGACCTCTTTTGTGTTATAGTGTCATATGCCAAATGTCCCCTGTCGCACTGCTCAATCTGAGGACCTTAGCTATGTTAATGCTATAATGGTCAATAGTTGTTTGGCTGCTTATATGACCTATCTGACCAGTCATGCAACTTGCTCCAAAAATCTTGAGGACAATCAATTCTCCTAAAGTTCCAAAACCAGATTGTGGTGTCTTGGAAGCCATAGTTGAATTTTCATGATTATATTGTTCTATATTTATGTAGGATTTGACAAGTTTAAGCAACTAAACCAAATTCTTTTGCCGGTAAAGGCTGAATGCATATTGAAATTGACTTTCCTGGAGGCCTTGAGTAAGAGCTGCTTGGATGGCCATAAGTAGGGGCGGAGCCTGAAAATTTTTTAATGGGGGCACAACTAGCCATTAAATAACTCTCTAAATAACAATTTTCTATATTGTAATTGTAGATCTTGAGATAAGTTTTTAATAAAAAATAAAAAAATACATTCAAAATTATAGCTGTTTCTATTAAAAAGCATAGATATATCACTCTCTATCTTAGTATTTATTGAGAAATTGATATTTTTCTCATAAGATTATGTTAATAAATTGAGTTCAAATAAATTACTTTTATAGTTAAGATTATTTTGTTTGAATTGATTAAATTGAGTATTAATTTTTGAACAATAATTATAGTAATTAAATTAAATTAGTTTAAGATAATATTCCAACTTATTCTAAATTAATTATATATTAAATTTATTTGATATAATGGTTCACATTTAGTTAAAGAAAAACTCAAATAATATAAAATTATAAAATTAAGATTATTTAATTAATTTATTTACTTTCTAAAATTTATTAAATTTTTTTGTTAATTAACTTATTGCAACTTAATCTTATCTTACCTTTTTTTACAACACTCCAATGCCTTATCTTTTTTCCAACAACAACAACAACATCAAGCCTTTATCCCACTACGTGGGGTCGGCTACATGAATGGGTCATCAGGAGGCCGCCGTTTTATGTGACTAAACCATCTAAGACGACTCTCTCTAATCTTATCTTCTATTGGAGCAACTCCAACCTTTTCACGTATATGCTCATTTCGTATCCTATCTCTAAGGGTTAAGCCATTCATCCACTTGAGCATCTTCATCTCTGCCACACTTAACTTAGTATTATGCTTCTCTTTTAATGGCCAACATTCGGCACCATAAAGCATTGCAGGCCTCACCACCATCTTATAGAATTTTCCCTTAAGCATTGCAGGCCTCACCACCAGTGCCTTATCTTTTTCCCAAAAAAAAAAATTCCCAAAAAGAGTGCAGAAAGAAATAGAAAGAAAAAAGAATAGAATAGAGAAATAAAGAAGGTAGAGGGGGAGAGAGAGATAGAGAGAGGAGAGGCTTCCCACGTGATTAGCGAAAAGAAAATAAAATCCTACACGGAGGCAGAGGGATTAATTTGTTTTAGAAATTAAATTTACTGTATAAATAATCTTCTATATGCTAAGTGTTATATTAATATAACTTTAATGAGGCTGATTTTTAATTGTTGGGCTAATGAGGGTTCACACCCCAAGGCCCCCACTATAGATCCTCCCTAAACAACAAATTTCAAATCTTGCATATATAGCATCTCCTGATAGAGCTGAGTCATAAAGTGTTGGAGTTACTTATTGGACTATCATCTCAAATTTGCAAGAGCCTAAGAAATTTTTAGCAGTTTTTGTGTGTTGGGAAAAATGGGTTACAAATGGCTTCTTGGCTTGACCTCGACAAAGGAGATGCTGCCTGATAGGAGAAATGAGAACCATTTGGAGTGAAGGCACACCAAAAAGAGGGAAGGAGCATGAGGTGTGGAAGAGGGCTTCTGATGGATATTTTTAAATTCCTTTCAGAATTCCTCACAATGAATGTGATAAAGTAAGCTAATTACGTGTAAAATTGCACATTAGCCATCTAGAGTTGACTATTTTATGTTCCTTCTCCCAATTTTGCTAGATTTACAGCAACAGTTCACTTTGTTTTTTTTTTTTAATGCTTATCCATACTTATGTGGGTCTTTATTTCTTCTGTTTATATAATGCTGATATTTTCTTTTGCTAAACTCTGCCAATGTTTTTGAGAACTCAGGCTTCATTTGCTCGCCACATGTCTAAACAAGGATTTGATACATGGATTGTTGAAGTGAGAGGTGCTGGACTGAGCATACGTGCTCATGAATCAAATGAAACCATTCAATCTTCTGATAAGCCTTCCATATCAAATTTAGATTCTACTGATGAAGTAAAACTGACTGGTTATTCATCTGTGGAAGGACTTTCAGCAGTGAACATCACCCCAAAAGTAGGCCCTAAAATCTCCAAAATTAATGGAGTCAAGGGAGAGCTGGTTTCTGTGGATGAATCACAGTTAGTTACTAAGCTTACTTCTACCTTTATGAATTTAGCTGAAAGACTTTCAGGTTATTTAAATGAAGGTCAATTGAAGGCCATCTCTGAGAAGTTCCTTGAGCAGATCTCAAAACTTTTGGAAGATGCTGGATTAGCTGAACGGTTTAATGAGATTGCAGCTAAAATTTCTAGTTTGCTTGAAGCAAGGCAGAATTCTTCTGTTGCCGGCCAGCTCAGAGAACTGAGCCAGCGTCTTATAAATACAATTGAAGAAGGTCAAAAATCAGTTTCACCACAGCTGTTTGACTTGCAAGAGCGCCTGTCATCTACCATAGAAGATTTTCAGAAACAGCTTGATCTCATTGTTACATATGATTGGGATTTTGATAACTACTTGGAGGAGGATTTGCCTGCTGCGGTGAGGTGACATATCCTCTTGCTATAATGAAAATTTATGATAATCTGACCTAAAGTTCTTTGAGATCATTAATAGATGCCTGACTGGTATCTTTAACTCATTTAAATTGCAGATGGAATACATAAGAGAGCATAGTATGGTAAAAGATAGCAAATTGCTGACGATCGGTCATTCCATGGGTGGCATATTGTTATATGCTCTGTTATCAAGATGCGGTAAGATGCTTTAGTTTTGTGAATATCGGGAGATGGTGAATTTGCAGGATAGTCAATCGTTCTTAATTTCCGATTTAGTTATTGATGTTTGTCAAAGAAAGGTTTTTGTAGATCTGTCATTAATACTATTTTTCCTGAGCATTGTTATCTTAGTTACTTATGACTTCATTTGAGATAGTTTTTTTTGCTGCTTTTTAAAACAACTTTTTAGTATAAAAATTTCTTGAATTAGAAATTATTATACTAAAAAGTCATTTAAAAAACTAGCAAGAAAGTTGTCTCAAACGGAGTCCATGTCTTCACTAATTTAGGAGTTTCCATATGTAAGTTTAGGGATCATTTTCAATAATATTTTGATGGCTGAGAGCCGGAGATTTAACTGATTAAATAAGAAATCTTTGAATAAAGTCCTAATTTAATTATAAACATTGGTTAACATTTGTACTATTCATCATCATTAATATCATTAGTACCTAATTTGGTTGTACCTTTCCATCCGTTATCCCTTTTTTTCATGTGAAGAGCTTCCCCCATGTCCACTTTTATGCTTTTTCTACTGTCTTGGCGTTCGAAGTTGTGTGCTATTATTGTCTTTGAATATGGATATAGTTCTTGAATCTGTACAAACGCCAATCGATATAGTTTTTGCCAATTATGAAAATGTTGGCTCAATGAAAGCCTATTTCTTCTAGAAACTATATCCCGTCAGTTCCTAAAATTGAGTTGACGTGTAGTATTAAAAAACTGTTAGAGCTCCTTGCTTATCAACAGGCCTAATGAGTTCCTTCATTTGAATCTGCCAGCTTCCCAAGGAAGTAAATGTGGATTGGCAGCCATTGTCACTTTAGCAGCATCAGTTGATTACACCACTTCAAAATCTTCACTGAAATTGTTGCTGCCTCTTGTAAGTGCAATAAAATCCTGTATTGAAATTGATAGGAATCTTCCAAGTATGGATGAACTAACTTCAGCCAAATTTGTGGTTCAGGCGGACCCTGCACAGGCTCTCAATGTCCCAGTTGTACCTTTAGGAGCACTAATGACTGCTGCATATCCTCTGTCATCTCGTCCACCATATGTTTTGTCATGGGTTACCAGTCAGGTTTCTGCACAAGACATGATGCTTCCAGAGTTATATGAGAAGCTTGTTTTAAATAACTTCTGTAAGTATACTCTCCAAGAAGGTTTCTGTTGAAAAACTCGTGTGATTCAATGAGTTTATTGAACTAAAATTTGGTAGTTTCTCCACTTAATTGCCGATGTATAATAGTATAGATGTTGAATAGGGATTGATTTTAGAGATTTTTTTCCCCTTAAAAATTAGTGTTAGATAAACTGTTGGAGTTTGACTTAAATTTGAAAAACATGATTGGAGGATGCACAATTGTATCCCACAAGTTGATGATTGTTGTATTTGAATGGATCAATAAGATAAAATGTGTTTCCTTGCTATAAAATTTTAGGTCTATTGGAGTTTGCATACAATGTGATTTTATTTAAAGAACTTTTATGAATTCACATTGATTATAAGTCATATGAATCTTATGTGGAATGGATTGTTGGGTTTATTTATCCGTGTCGACGCATATATATATATTAGAAGTTAAAGATATTTGTTTAAAGGCAAATAGGCTTGACTCAATTGGGAAGTCCACCTAACCTAAAATTTATTATCTTTGAATCTGCTCCAACTTGAATTAATCTGTAATCGACATCTTTGAACTTGAATCGAACCTGGCTCAATCTAACTCGACATGTTACAGTCGCTAGTTGCATACGAATGAGTGTGATGTGATGCCAACATACGAAAACAAGAATTGCACTTTAGAGATTAATAAGAGGTTATCAACTTTGCAATGTTAACAATAAAGTCTAGCTTACTCAAGTAGAGTTCAAGAAAAAATCATGAAAGATTAAACCATGGTAATTGATTACACTTGAGAATTACTAGAGCCTTGCCAAATAATAACCAAAAGAAACCCATATAATGCAAATAGCTATGATAAGCAGAAGCTTCATGTTTAAAATATAGATCCTTCACCTTGAATACCTTCACTCGCTCTTGAAAGTGGTGGCTAGCGGAAGAGGATCGTAAGTAGACTCAGCGATGCCACTAGTAGACAGGTGATGCCGAGAGGGCTTGTCGCCGGGGAAGAAGCCGGGGTTGGAGGAGCGGGTGGATGGCCGTCGATAGTCCACTCGGAGTCTGAAAATTGCTCGTCGATGATGGGCACAAGGATGGGGAGAATTAGATCCAAGTAATCTCCAATTGTGTCGTCGTGTTCAAATCCCACGTCGAAGAATGGAGATCGTAGGATTTTGATATTACCGTAGGCGTCGCACACAAGTCCCCATTCAAGTTCAGGATCCGCCATGCATTCTTGTTGGGAGTTGAGGTAGCATTCGAGAAGAAGAAGGGAGGTGGAAGGTGGCGGCTTGGAGTGGAGAAGGTTGGTCGGCGTGAAGGATAGGGGAAATCGGCTAGGTTGGAGAGGCTATGAGATAATTTCAGTAAAAATTGAAATTATTTTAGGTTGTAGTAGATTGGAGGGAATAATTTGAAAATTTCAAATTAATTCCAAAAGGAGAGGGGGGGGGGGCGGTAATGGGAGAGGAATCTTGGCTGATTTGTGGAGCTATTAATGTGATTTGGAGAGAGAAAGGAGCCCAATAAGGGGGCCGGCCAAAATAGAGAAGTGGCTGCTGGCCGGCGGGTTGGGGCTGCAGGCTGGTGGCCTGGGCAGTCCAGGAGGGACGGCGACAGTGAGCAAGGGAGGGGGAGGTTGTGGGGAAAATTCTAGGGATCCAAAGAATGAAATTCCAATCTCCCACAAGTGACTTCAATCCAACTCTCCACAACGACGACTTGATCAAGAGAAATAAAAAAGAAAAACGGAGGACAAGAAAACCTAGAAATCACAAAGAGATCTAGTTTCTCCTACGAACTCACTAAGAGATCGAGGAGGTTTGCACTCACAAAGAGAACATGAAATGTAACTTTTCATTCATCCCAAATTGAAATTACAATGCATGGGGATTGGGGCCTCATATAAATAGGCCAAAATGAAATAACAAGAAATGACACAAATGCTCGTCCGGGCTACATAAGCGACTCGATGCCCATAGGGGCAAACTAGGAAACATGAAATACAATCATAAAATAAAATGCAAATCTATCAGCAGTAGAGGCTCTGGATCGTGGCCGTCGATCTGCGTCTTCGTCGATGGTACATGTGTTGAAATCTGATGTCCTCATCATTCTCCCCAGGTGGGAGAAAACTCGACCCCGTCGAGTAGGTGTCTCTAGAAGTCTCGTACCACTCTAGTAAGTCGGGGTCCAATCTCTGTAGCTCATCTCGGTCAATCTACACGTTCTCCATCTCCGGCTTTCCTGCCCATTGAACCAGGTACCTTCGGCGACCACCGTCTTTAGTGGAAATGATTTCATCGCTAAGTACTGCCTCAATCCTCCCTGCAGTAGGTAAAGTGGGAATTTTTGGGAGAGGGAGTAGGCTGGGGATCTCACCAGGTGGGGACTCACAAGGCTTATCATGTAATGGATTGGTGGGGTTAAAATCTGGACCCTCATATGTTACAAGATCTTCAATGTTAAAAGTGAGGCTAAAGTTAAGACCTTCGGGAAAGTCTAGCACATAAGCATTACTGTTTATTTTGGAAATTATTCTGAAGGGTCCCGCGCTTCTTGCGTGTAATTTCTTAACGGTCCCTTGCGGGAACCGCTCCGGACGAATCCGAACCATCACATAATCTCGCACTTCAAATTCTTTAAACCTTCTCTTGAGGTCCGCAGTGAGTTTATATTTAGCATTGCTTAGTTTAATTCTTGTATTAATGTCTTTGTGCAATTCATGTAAATGCGATGCAAATGCAGATGCTGACTCAGATGCTCTAGACTTAGGACCCATGGGAATTAGATCTATAGGTTGCTTGGGTTGGTATCCGTACACAATCTCAGCTGGACTCAGACCCGTAGTTCGGTTGACGGAGTTGTTATAGGAAAATTCAGCAATGGGTAACTTAGAATCCCAATCTCTAAGGTTTTCACCTACTAAAGTTTTTAAGAGATTTCCTAAGCTCCTATTAACAACCTCGGTTTGCCCATCGGTCTGGGGGTGGAAGGCTGTGGAAAACTGTAATTTCGTGCCCATCTTATGCCACAGTGTTTTCAAAAAATAACTCGTGAACTTAACATCTCTATCGGAAACAATGGTCTTAGGTAACCCATGAAGTCTAACAATCTCATCAAAGTAAAGCTTAACAACCCGGGATGCATCAAAAGTTTTAGAACAGGGGAGGAAATGGGCCATTTTTTAGAATCGATCAACGACAACACTAACAGAATCGTGCTTCCTAATGGTCTTGGGCAATCCTAGTACGAAATCCATACTTACATCCTGCCAAGGGCAATTGGGCACGGGGAGTGGAGTGTAGAGGCCCGTACTTTGCTTTCGTTATTTGGCCAACTGGCAGGTGTGACATCTCCTTAAAAGTTTGCTAACGTCGCGCTTGAGGTTGGGCCAATAGAATCGATTTTCTAGCGCAACAATAGTTTTGGCTTGACCGAAGTGGCCAGCTAAGCCTCCAGCATGTAACTCCCATACTAGAAATTCCCGTAGAGAAGTGTTGGGAATACAAAGTTTTTGTGACTTGAACAGATAGCCATCTTCTACAAGAAAATCCTTCATTATTCTCTCTTCTCTGTCGGTTAGTAGAGAGTATGTTTCTTTAAAGTCAGGGCAGTCCAAGTAATCCTCCTAAAGCCGCTCAAAACCAATTACCTCCGTTCTCATTTCTTGGGTAACCATCATTCGACGGCTAAGAGCATCCGTGACTTTATTCTCAACTCCCGCTTTATGTCTAATCGTGTAAGTATACTCTTGCATGAATTCAACCCAACGGCCGTGACGAGCATTTAGGTTCTTCTGAGAATTAATGTAGCGCAAGGCCTCGTGGTCTGAAAATATCACAAATTCCTGAGGCAAAAGGTAGTGCCTCCAGTATCTTAGAGATTGGATAATTGCATAAAACTCTTTATCGTAGGTAGAGTATCGCTGTCGAATGTCGTTCAATTTCTCACTGAAGTAGACAACAGGGTGCCCTTCTTGCGATAAAACTCCTCCTATACCCAGGCCTGATGCGTCACAGGTTACCTCAAAAACTTTGGAAAAATCAGGAAGACGCATGATAGGTGATTCCATCATTTTTCTTTTAATCTCATCAAAGGCCTTGCTGGCATTTATTGTTCAATGGAAATCTTCTTTCTTCAGACAATCAGTTATGAGTGCTACTATCGTGCTGAAATTTCTGATAAATCTCCTATGGAAAGTGGGCAATCCATGAAAACTTCGAACATCTCTAATATTTTTGGGTTCAGGCCACTCGTTAATTGCTCGCACCTTCTCGGGGTCGACTGAAATCCCTTGAGGGGATATGATAAATCCTAGAAAAGTGACACGGTCTGTGAGGAACACACTTCTTAGGGTTGGCATACAATTGTTCTTTCCTCAAAATTTCACAGACTTGAGTCAGGTGATTTAAATGTAAGTCCACCGAACTACTATAGATTAGGATGTCATCAAAATATACCACAACGAATTTTCCTAAAAATGTTCACAAAACTTGAGTCATAACTCTCATGAACGTGCTAGGAGCGTTACTAAGACCAAACGGCATGACCATCCATTCAAACAACCCATCTTTAGTTTTAAAAGCCGTCTTCCATTTACCCCGGGGCGGATTCTGATTTGATGGTAACCACTCTTAAGATCGATCTTGGAAAAGAGGGTGGCTCCAATCATCATGTCTAACATGTCATCCAGTCGGGGAATGGGGAATCTATACTTGACAGTATCTTATTGATAGCGCGGCTATCAACACACATTCGCCAAGAACCGTCCTTCTTGGGAGTCAGAAGTGCAGGAACAGCACATGGGCTAAGGCTCTCTTTGATGAACCCTCGTTGCAGGAGTTCATCTACTTGTTTCTTTAGTTCAGAATGTTTAGTTGGGTTCATACGGTAGTAAGGAAGGTTGGGTAGAGAAGCTCTAGGTACCAAGTCTATTGTGTGTTGTATGTCCTGTAGAGGGGGCAGTTGGTTAGACAAGTCTTCAGGGAAAACATCAGAAAAGGTTTTAACTTTTAAGGAGTGGGCGGACCTCTTCAGGAATGGGTTCACCTACTTCTTCATTGGTTTCCCGAGCCACTAGGGCGTACATGGTGGTTCCTTGGTTGATCTCATCTTCTACTTCCTTTGCAGTCAGGAGGTGTAGCCCTTTGCTTTATTTGGCAGGGGTAGGCTTGGCTTCCGTCTTGTGGGGCTTAGGTTGAGAAGGTATTAACTTGATTTTCTTCCCGTTATGTTCAAACACGCAGGTGTTCGTTCTCCCATAAATATGAACGTCATTGTCAAATAACCAAGGGCGACCAAGGATGATTTGACCTACGTCCATGGTCAAAACATCACACAAAATCTTTTCCTTATATCCCACAAATTCTATAGGAATAAGGCTCCGATCCTTAATTTCTATGGTAGTCGATTTAATCCAATAAACCTTATACTAATTTGGGTGAGGGGTCATTTTGAGTTTAAGTTTGGAATCCATCGCCGAAGAGGCTGCATTGATACAATTTCCACTGTCTACAATAACTTTGCAGCTCTTTCTCCAATCTTAATAAAGGTATGAAAAATGGAGGTCCTTCGCCAATCATCACTTGGCTTCGGTTGGGACAACGCACATCGAACAACTTGTAAGGTAACAGGTTCGTCCTCAGTGAAGGAGTCTTCTTCCTCATCAACATGATGAATCAAATCAGTTTCAGGTTCGTCCTCGTCTTCATCCACTTCTTCAATTATGGTGACCTTATAGGGACTAGAACATTGCGAAGCAATGTGCCCATACCCTTGACACCTATAACACTTGGTTCCTAAAGTGGGCTTGGAAGTGTCACGTTCGGGGGCTTTACCTTTAAGGTTCGTGCGAGGTGGGGCCGAACTAGCAGTGGGTCGGCTCGCCATAGAACCCGAGGGTCGGTTTTGGGGTTGTTCAGATGAGGTCCTATAAGAAGTTGAGCGGGAGTCAAAATGTTTCGTTTGGGAATGGGCCCTAGACTCCTCGAGGTCGAGAACTAGGCTGCAGGCTGCTTCTAACGAGTCTACTCTAGTAAAAAGTTCAGTTCAAAGATCTTCCCTAAGGCTAGCTCTAAACATGGACAGGATTTGCGTTGGGGTAGCCGACTCCTCGCCGTTGCAACGAATCAGGAAATCGTCGAAGGCAGAGATGTAGTCTTTAATGGGCTTCCTCCCTTGGGTCAGTCTGTTCCACTTATCAAGGAGCTTAGAGTAGTAGGATGGAGGGATGTATTTTCTCCTAAGTTCTTGCTTCATAGTTCTCCAATCTGTAATAGGATGTACTTAGCGGTGAAATCATTTTCACTAAAGATGGTGGTCGCCGAAGGTACCTGGTTCAATGGGCAGGAAAGCCGGAGACGGAGAACGTGTGGATTGACCGAGATGAGCTACAGAGATTGGATCCCGACTTACTTGAGTGGTACGAGACTTCTATAGACACCTACTCGGCGGGGTCGAGTTTTCTCCCACCTGGGGAGAATGATGAGGACATCCGATTTCGACACGTGTACCATCGACGGAGACGCAGATCGACGGCCACGATCCAAAGCCTCTACTTCTGATAGATTTGCATTTTATTTTATGATTGTATTTATTGTTTCCTAGTTTGCCCCTATGGGCATCGAGTCGCTTATGTAGCCCGGATGGCATTTGTGTCATTTCTTGTTATTTCATTCAAGTATGTAGCCCGGCGGCCTGGGCAGTCCAGGAGGGACGGCGGCAGTGAGCAAGGGAGGGGGAGGTTGTGGGGAAAATTCTAGGGATCCAAAGAATGAAATTCCAATCTCCCACAAGTGACTTCAATCCAACTCTCCGCAACGACGACTTGATCAAGAGAAATAAAAAAGAAAAACGAAGGACAAGAAAACCTAGAACTCACAAAGAGATATAGTTTCTCCTATGAACTCACTAAGAGATCGAGGAGGTTTGCACTCACAAAGAGAACATGAAATGTAACTTTTCATTCATCCCAAACTGAAATTACAATGCATGGGGCCTCATATAAATAGGCCAAAATGAAATAACAAGAAATGACACAAATGCCCGTCTGGGCTACGTAAGCGACTCGATGCTCATAGGGGCAAACTATTAAACAGGAAATACAATCATAAAATAAAATGCAAATATATCAGAAGTAGAGGCTCTGAATCGTGGCCGTCGATCTGCGTCTTCGTCGATAGTACACGTGTCGAAATCTGATGTCCTCATCAGAGTGATTTGTTCTTCTTTTTTTTTTTTCTGGCCCATAATTTATGTTGTGTGGAAATGATTGTTTCAGTCTTTTATCATTTGAATTCTCATGCAACTCAGTAAAATACTGAAATTCATCTGTTATAGACAGTTTAGCTTAGGTTTAAGTAAATTGCTATTAAAGACGGTGATTAACACCATTTACCAATAGAAGAATTAATTTTACAAAAAACCTTTTATTATGCATTGTTTTGGCCAAAATCCTGGAATTTGTAAACATCGTGCCGACAAGTATAGAAGTGCTATTGTCCAAGCTTCTTGCCAGCAGAACTTAGTAAATTCCCTGGAATCTTTTCTTCATTTTTAGCAGGTTTCTTGCAGATCCTTCTCCTCATAATTATTGTAATCCTTTTCCACATTGTTTAGGAAAAGGAGTTTTCTCGCTGATCTTCTTCTAACATCTTATGGAGTTTTATGCACTATCATTGTAATCTGAACAGAAATTATTTGTTTTGTTCCCTTTTTCTATTAAATTTCTCCAAGTCCTGTTTCTTTCTAGTGCAGAAAACTTCTTGCAGAGGTCTGTCATTATCTCTACTCCTTTGTTTTGTAAAATTTACTATGCTTTTCAGGTACCATACCCGCCAAGGTTATCCTGCAGCTAACATCAGCATTTCGGGAGGGAGGACTGCGCAATCGAACAGGCAATTTCTCTTACAAGGACAACCTGCACAAATGTGATGTCCCTGTTCTTGCACTTGCAGGAGACCAAGATCTAATCTGCCCTCCTGAAGCAGTATATGGTGCAGTTCATCGGAACTTTTACTCCAGTAACTTATATGATCTATAGCTGTTTTTTTTCACTAATTATCTTCGCTTCAATCTGAATTTACAGAGACAGTCAAGCTCATTCCTGAGTTAAAGGTTTCTTACAAAGTATTTGGGAAACCAGATGGCCCACATTATGCTCATTATGACTTGGTCGGAGGGCGACTGGTATGTAATAGCCCTTACTGTGGGGAAATTATTAGGTCCGGATATCCAATTAAAATTTGACACGTGGATTGCGCTTTGAATGTGCTTTTTGACTGCACTTTACCTGCGCTTTTGATACGCTTAACTTAAAATTCTGCGAACACGTGTACATTCTACATGTCAATATTTTATTGGGGTTTAGATGTATCTCTACATCCGGTATCCGGATCTAATAATTTTTTCTTACCGTGACGAGTTCCTACAAAAGTGTTAATCTTTTCTCACTGACATCTACGCTCATCTATCCGTTCAACTTCTGCAGGCAACTAATGAAGTATATCCATGCATCATAAACTTCCTATGCTGTCATGATGAACTGACCTGTGAACTTTCGGACTAAGTTATTTTTCCAAAAGGTTAGTCTATATTCAGAAATCATCTTTGTAGGAAAATAATAATAATAATAATACATGCAATTTTTCCTGAAAGCTCTGTTCCATGCAAATTAGCTGTATCTTCTTCATTTTAGGTTCGTCTTTCTTACTGCTTCTTAAAACAATTTTTTAGTTAAAAAATTAAATTTTTTGAATTAAAAAGCTGATTTAAGAAACAGTAAGAAAGCCGTCCCAAAGAAGTCTTTTATTATTTCCAACACCGTTCTTAGACATCTGTTCGATATTGTTACTGTGGCTTGGTTTGGGAGGGCTTTCTTACTGCTTCTTAAAGTAGCTTTCTAGTAAAAAAAAATTAATTTTTGTACTAAGCTGCTTTAAGAAATAATAAGAAAGCCGTAAGCCGTTTGCTTCATACCACTCACGTTAAGAGGGTAAAAATAGGTATTGTTAGCTAATGATAAAATTGGATCCTGAAAACCATAGGATATTGCTTTATTGTTATTTCTTCTTTATGTTCAGTATATGACTTGATTAGTAATAAATTTGATTTGTTTGATTTTTTTTTTTTTTTTGCAGATAACTGCTAGTGGAGCCTTTTGTGACCTTGTTGATATGCAAGCTGGTGGCGATTTTATTTTATTTGCCACATTATAGTAATGTTATAATTGCATTTTTAATATCGTATAATTATAAATTCTTGTATTTATTAAAATATATCATTGGATTGATGCACTGATACAGAAACCATATGACTACATCACATATTCATTCTGAAAATATATGACATTGGCATATATTGACATGACAGATTTATTTTGGACGGCCGAGATTAAATTCAATATTTTGATTAGAAGTTATTCTGAACTTAATTTCTGTCAACCAAATTGAATCGTATATAGACCAAAAATTTTAATTTTTTAAAGAAAATGTAACAATCTCTAATAAAATTTAATCTCAAAAAAATTATTAGGATTGAACCAACTTATAAAAACTTCATTAAAGGGCTTTTCGTGATAAGAAAAAAATATAGAGTAAAAGAAATTCAACGTATTGAAACATTGCAACCACTTATATTTATATAGACCAAATTGCCCTCCTTTCATATATATGAGGCAATATTTTCTCTAAAATTTAAAATAAAGAAATATCATCTCTCCTATTTTAGTTTGAACTATATATTTTTTACATAACATCTAATGAAAGATCAATAAATTAATATTGAATCCTAAAATTCAGTCAACCCCTTCTCTTGTTTTATACCTACAAATATATGCTGAATTCAGATACAAGATTCCATAATAAAATAAAAATGCTCGGACAAAGACAACTAATATTAAATATGCCATTTCTTAAAATTTTGAGTTCCATGTAATATACTTTATATGAGAAAAAAAAAAAACATTACTGAAGTAACAAAGAGAGGGAGAGATCACCATGCATGGCTCTTACCGAAAAATATTACATGCGGCGTCCGGATTCATCTCAGTTTGTCCAGAGACGAATCTGGACACGTCACGTCACCCGGGGACCAGTCATCCGGGTGATGTGGCGAGTCCGAATTCATCTCCGGACAATTCCGACGCCGCATGCAATAATCTCTCATTCACACCTGCACTAACTGGCTGCATGGCTTTCTAATTCAAGATGAAACAGCTTATTTGTTATCTTTGATCCTTTACAGGCATGTATTTAGCAACCCAATCCAAATTTTGACAATTGGAGAAGCAAAATTTTAGCTTCAATCAAAGCAAAATGCATGGCTAGCAGAAATAATTGAACATACAACTATTAATATATCATAACAAAAAAAAAAAAATACTTCCATAACTAGGTTCACATCTTATTTTCCATGCAAATTATGCAACATCCTCTCTCAAATTTCAATTTCTATCAAAATACTGAAATCCAAATCTAACAGACACTAAATTAAACACTGGAAAAACACAACCTATCAAAAGAATGGATTCAATGCTTAGCTTTAAAGACAGTAGCTATACATGGAGCAGAATAAATTATGAGCAGTGCACAACCAATTCTAAAAAGAACAATAGATTTGTAAGCATAATTAGATTTTACTGACAGCAGTCTTGCAGACTGGGCATGCATTCTTCTGTAGAAGCCACTTTCTAATGCAATATATATGGTAGCTGTGGCCACAACCCAGCTTTCCCACTTCATCGTCCGTTTCATATTCCTCCTGTGAAAAGAGAACAAATAACACAAAGCTACTACTACTATTTGAGTAAAATTAGGTGGTCGGAAAAGATAACATACCTGGCAGATGCTGCACTTTCTTTCCATCTCAGTGGATAAAAGCTTATCAAATATCGAGAGCTTCGCTTTTCTGATGTTGCATTCAATTTCTTCTTCTCTCAAGCCAGTGCTGACATGCCCAATCTTATCACCAAGTTCAAGCAATTCCTGCAAATTGGGAAAATTAGATAGCCAAATATATAGGAAAAAAAAATTATGTCAACAAGAGCACATTTTATAGTCCAAAAATAATAGAGAAATTTAAAGTAGACCCAAAGATAAACCACTAAATTTTGAAGACATTCATATAAATATAGAATTATAGATGCAGAACTTCAATGTTCATAATTTTTTTTTTCAAAAAACATGCTTAATGTTATATATCATAATAAGGCGTTTCTCATATAATTTATTTTTCAGAGAGATATTGTGCTGAAGCAGGAGAAGTAGAGAAAAATAAGTGGAAACGGAAATTTGGTTACCTCATATGTCATATCGTCAACATCAAGCCGCCAATCTTTATATAGATCATAAGCATCCCCTCCTTGCAGTAAGAGTCTATGGTGCAACAACATGATCTGCTTGAAATAAGCGTTGCAAGTAAGAAATGGAAATCAGAATGCATTATGCGAATCAGTAATCAGTAATCTGCTTGAAATAACCGTTCCAATTACATGTGAGTTCTTCACGTTAACCAATAATACACCACAAATAAAACCTTCATCGAGTATTATAAAACCTTCATCAAGTTAATAGAACACTGTGAAGAAAAATGAATCATGTAGCTTATCTCACATAGTTGGATAAAAAACTTATTATTATTGTTGTATCAAGTATTATAACTCAGTCAACTACATGGAGCTATCCCCAAAAATAAAACCTTCATCAAGTGTTAGAGCTCACTCAACTAAATGGAGCTACTGTGAGAATAGCTTGTACTTTAACCTTGCTTGGCCTTAGATAGAAACCAGTCAATGCCAATAAAAGCCAAAACTAAACCATTGATCTATATTTCATCAATACTTCAACAAGAAGTCTTATTGTCCTAATGTCCAAGTTTCATCAAATACAACTATTACATTTGACTGTTAAAGCTGGTTTAAAAAAAAATATGTATGAATTAAAAATTAATGTTTAGTAAAACACAGCTCAAAACAGCAGCCTTCCGATGACCCAGTTAGGAAAGTAGAGGTATTAGATTCGACTTATGTTAAAAAAGGTAGAGGTAGACCTAAAAAAAACTTGGTTAGAAAATATTAGAAATGATCTTTCTTTATTAGATTTAAACGAGATTTTGACTTTTAACATGACACAATGAAGAAAAAGGATTCATGTAGCCAACCCCACGTGGTGGGACAAAGGCTTGATGTTGTTGTTGTTGTTATTTTAGTAAAACACAACTCAAATGGACACACTCACAATCAAGTTTATTATATTGGCTAACAATTGGCAAAACACCAAAGAAAACCTACTGGTACCATAAAGTTTGTTTATCTAGCTACAGAGTGGGGGAATACAAATACATCATAGATAAATATAGTTAAATCATCAAACTTCATCAAAAAAATGAACAATGGTGGTTTTGCTAGTGAAAAAGAATTGAATGAAGATAACTGGACAAAAAAGGGGTCATCAATTTCCATTTATCAGGTCGTTGGGAGGGGATTTGTTGCTTATGTAACAAAAAAAAGGGCTACATGCATTAATATTGCAGGAGAGGAGAAATAACAGCAAGAATGCTAGAAAATTTAAGTACATTACTTTAGAAGAAAAAAATGAACCTTGAGCAGAATCTTAACAAACAATAGAAACAATTTTTCACAATGAAAATCTTTCTATTAATTCAAATGCATTATAACAAACTAATCAAACATATCTCTTACGAAGATGGATAAATCATTGTGAAAAAATTACAGATGGATGTGGGATTGCCACCTCTTCAAGTTCAACAGGAGGTTGGTGATAATACTCTCGCATGCGAAGGAAGTGCTCAGATGGTGTAAGATCGGCTTCAAAGAGCAAAGCCCGAGGAGACGATTTAGAATCTGCTGTGGAAGAAATTGCTTCTCGGTTTCCAACTCTTCTCCCATAATAAGTCCGCTAGTATAATTAACCAGATAAATAAGAACATAATTATTAATGGTACAAGTCAAATTTAGTAACATCAAACAGTGAAAATTAGTAGATAGAAAAAAAAAATCAAATTTCAAAACTTTTAGGCCATGTTTGTTTGAAGGGGGTTTCCAATACAACAAATAATAGAAAGTGCATATTTATATTTTAAATTACTTATCCAACTCTAGGAAAAATAATCTCCTTATATGCCAAAAAATTTATGATGGTAGATAGAATATATTTAATATCTTAACTTTATATAAAGATTCATTAAACGCAGATAAAAGTTTAAGAGACGATAATTATTTATGTGAAAAAGTCAAAAAAGCAAAAAATAAAAAACAATTACAATAATTCATTATATAATTAAAGATGCAATAATTCAATCTTTCTCACAATTGAAGAACAGGAATTACATAAATGAGAACCATTATTAGGTTCCTGTTAAAGTGATTATATAAGAGGTGTTGGAGGTCAAAAACAATCATACAATGTCAATCGATCAACAACAATATAATAGATGCCCATCTCAAAGCTCTTATTTTCTTCTCAATGAGAAGATAATTATTATCAAATTTGAAGCAACTCATGAAAGAGATAATGCTGAAAAAAGTACTCCAATTTATAGAGTTTGACTTTTCACTTTATATCGACATTTACTATTACTATTGATGATGCTAAGCTTCAACATTGGCATTGAAGCCATTGGAATCATCTAAGTTCATAATAAGATATTGCCCTCCAATTAGAACATGAAATAAATTTTTTAGATGATAACAACCTTCTAAAGCTTACACCTGAAAATTTTTGAAAAGCATATACTTTCTGAAGTTTTAAATTTTGAATATCAACAAATGAGGCAAAGATGATAGTTTTCCATCAGCTACGACCTTGGACAGCGCTCATCGACCATTCAAATTTCACTTTGTAAAACTGGTCGATGGGCTTTGGAAAACATCATCGTAGCTAGGCACTCTTACATCCTTATGTTTTAATCTTGTCTATATATTTTAATGTGAATCCTATTTTCCATCTTTGAATTTTGTTCATAATCCATACAATTTTGATTTTTTATTACCTTTGTGCTGATCACATATTTGTAATTAAAAATTGAATCAATAGAAAGAGCTATGCACTCAATATTAAAAAAAAAAAATCTCAGTCAAAATCAGCTATAAAGAAATACGGAACCGGATAAAGTTTCCATTTTTGTTCTTTTTAGGAGAGGAAGAAGAAAAAAGGGTAAACCCGAATTCCAAGTATCCTGTCACCCTGTTTCTCGAGCAAACCCTGTCTCAAAAGACTAAGCTACCAACCATAATTACAGCAGCGAGTCAGAAAAGCGAACTAACAGGCGACTTGGGATCTTGACGACGGATCTTGCTACACGGCCCGAAATTAAATCTATACCTTACGTTTTTTTTTTGTCGCTCGGAAACTTTTGATCCTTTGGAATATAATTTTTTAATTTTTTTGAGAAACTCATTTAATTTTTAAGCTGGGACTCTCTAATTTTTTATTTAATTCAGCCTTTCAATTCCCAGAAAAAAAAGGAAAAAATTCAAAGTTATTCCAATCACTTTAAGAACTAAAGTATTTTGGCCTAGATGGAAGTTCTGTCTATCTAGCGAAGACTTGAGAAAGGTAATCCAAATAGTTGGCCACTTTAAATAGAATTTGAGAAAATTTAATGTGAGAGAAATGATAAAGTGGTTGCCAATCAATTCAGTTGGTAAAATTTTACAAATCATTGTGAAATTCGGATTGAAATCGGTGAAATTTGTGCTGTACACTAACTATTCTAAATAATTTATAAAAAAGCTAAATTGTCAAAGAAACTATTATGTGTGGACAATGGAACTACTACTGCAAATTGGTACAGTTGTGTATTTTCCAATTAATGTCTGTAAATGCATCATCCACACACCTACTAATTTTTCAAGAATGACATTACTACATAAGAGGCTTCTAAATTATGCTTGAGATAAATTCTGGAATAAACAAAATTTGATGAAACTAAAATCCCACTTTTATACTCCACGTTCTTTGCATCCAGGTAGCGGTGGAATTAAGAAAGGACTGGCTAGTGGTGGATTTTGGAAAAACCTATTATGATAATGTATGATATAAAATTTTTAAGCACTTAAATTCAGTTGCAAATACTTATATTATAAAAACTTCACCGTTTAAAATCTTCTCTCACATAAAATTCTAATTCAATCTCTTGCTCAACTGAAAAGATTTAAGCAACCCAAGAGTTCCCATATTTACGCAGCATCAGGAGGAACCAAAGAGTAATTAAGAAAAAAAAGTCGAATTAATCCCAGTTGTAAGCAAAAGAGTGATTCTGTAGAAGAGAATTCTCATAAGACACTTGTGACTGAGTTTGAGGTTCGAGTCCAGAGGAAGGAAGACGATTGTAGAAAGAATAAAGAGTATTTAACTTCAGAACAACAGATCATGGTATGGATCGGAGAGCTTGAATGTCCATTCACTGTTAACATAAGCTTTTTCTTTCTCATTCAGAGAAAGCAATATTATCAACAGAATATTATAGATAAAAAGTTAAGCAGAGGGAATTTATATCATAACAGCGGCAAGGGTAAGACCAGCAAGAGGATTCAGATCGCAGAAAAGTATTATTCTGAAAAAAAAAATCAAGATAAAGAACAAATTAAAAATCAGAACGCTCTGAAATGAAAAAAGATTGGGATACCTCTCTTAGAGCCCTCTCCACCTCAACCCTGCCCCCTCTCCCCACCATCTCGCTCTGCGAGACCACGCAGTCCACAGAATCATCTCCCGCGAATGAGATCCCTGGGGTACACCACACATCGGCAGCGGCTGAAGACCTATCCTTCTTCTTCTTGTTAGTTCTCCTCCGCCGAGAGCCCTTGCCATCCCAATCCGCCGACGACCGAACAGCAGCAGCGGCAGAGGATGGCGCGTAGGCCTGAGACGCTGCGGAGGAGGAGCAGCTTAGGCTGCGTAAGGCTGCAGATGCAAATGCCTTCTTCTTGTTGGGAAGCCGAGGGGAGGAAGATATCAGCAGAGGGTTTTGATCTGCGGAGGGGGTGGGTGGGTTCCGAAGACGGAGAAGAGTACGGAAACCACGGCGGTCCGGCGATGATAAGGGGCCATCGGAGTTGGGCATGGTGGTGAGGGATTTGATTTCGTATTTTCTGGAGAGAGAGAGAGAGAGAGAGAGAGAGAGAGAGAGAGAGAGGAACGCAGAGACGAGAGGAGAGTAGGCGTAGATTTGTTTGTTTTGAATGGGAGAGGAGAGAGCAGCATATGTCGGAATTTGATGGGAAAAAACAAAGAGAAAGGAGGGAAGGCAAACTAAGGCAAAGACAAAATAAATAAAAAAATGATAAAAACATTTCAAATTAAAAAAAATTATGCGAAAATATTTTTTTCTTTTCTTTTTGATATAAATTATAGTATGATGAATTTAAAAATTATTAAATCTATTTAAAAATAAATGTTACATCTACTAATTTTAAAATAAACATAATATTCTTTAAGAATGACATAAATTTTTTTATTTATAAATTAATTATTCATATATTATATTTATTTAATGTTTTTCATGACAGTTTAATTACGCATTTTTTTAATTATTTTTTTTGCTTAATTTTTTTTAAAGAACTTTTTGTAATTAATAGATATATAATATTATTTTTTTAATATTTAATTATTTTTGTGTTGTATTTGCCCCCCTCAAAGTTGAAGCTGGTTTCGCCCCTGGGAGCATACCCATCCCTAAATAATTGATATTATTATCTTAAATAGTGATGGGAGGTCTAATATTTAAAATTACATATCCTGAAGAGGAGACAGAATGCTAGTTTTTTTTGTCATTTTCATTCATTGCTTATGTTATAAAAAGTGTATTGATCATTGTAAGTAACTATCATCTTTCTTATATTTTTTATTATTTTGATTTATGCATATTTATCTCTTCTAAATCTATAAAAAATGCATTATCTCATGATTTCGTAAGCTTTCACCATGTAACTTTTAATTTGTTATAGATTTGATAATTCTTAATGATTTAATATGATTTTATTGTATTTTTACCAATTAAATACATGTATAGAAATTTGAGGGAAAAATTTCTTTGCAAAAAGGCAAACTAGAAATGAGTTAAAAAGTATTGTACTGTGATTTGACGTGATAAAATTACAAGATAATATGTACTGATATGATTGAGTTATACAAAAATGTAATATTGTTATTAGTCTAATTAGATGTGATGTATAGACATGATATATTGATTAATATCAGATGTATAATATGATACCCTTATGTGATATCCTCAATATCCATATGGTCCACTAATGGGAGCTAGTGGAGGAGTCATAAGGAGCTAGAGATTTATCGGGAGTCATAAAGAGTCGGGGTGACTGTCTTATGATTTAAGGAGAGTTATAAGGAGATCATAGATTGAGAGTTGTTGCATCCTGCAGTATTTGCGTCAGTAGAGAAATATAAGGTTTAACGTCTTAGTGTTGTACGAAGATCTAGCACACACACAGATAAAAAGATAGTGTACATCATTCATTAGAGATATCAAGATTTTTATGTGAAAACCTCTAAAAAGGGGGAAAAACCACAGTGTCTAGCCCAGTTTGAATGAATCCACTAATATTGCAGTTGATTACAAATGAGGCCCTTCCTTGGGGGAAGGCCTTAGCTTGATATACATCTTATAGAGTACTTTACATGTGAGAATACAAATAATCGCTGCTGATGTATTAGTTTGGTTTGAAGGACTATAGTCGGTGGGCGACGTAAGTTAAAAAGGATCGTAGTCGATGGGCGATAGAGGTCGGAAGGACTGTAGTCGGTGGGCGACATAAGTTAGAAAGATCGTAGTCGGCGGGCGACGGAGGTCGGAAGGACTGTTGTCTGATGACGAAGGTCAGAAGGATGGCGTCAAGTAGAAGTCCAACAATGGACATAAATCCAACATCGAGTATATATCCAAAAAAAAGTCCGACAACTAGTAGAAGTCCGGCATCAGGTAGAGACTTGGGGACGAACAGAGGTGTGGTGTCGGGTAGAAATCCGACGCCAGTTGGCAGCCGAGGAGAACTCCAACCTTAGATGGTATTCGAGCAGAACTCCGGCGTCACTTGGAGTTCGGGTGAAACTCTAGCGTCACTTGAAGATCGTACAGAACTCCAACGTCACTTGGAGTTCGGGTGAAACTCCAGCGTCGCTTGGAGGTTGGGAGGAATTCCGGCATCACTTAGAGGTCGGGCGGAATTCCGGCATCACTTGAAAGTCGGGCAGAATTACGGCGTCCCATGGAAGTTGGACAAAATTCTGGCAGTGGTCGAGAAGGAGTTTTTTCCCTCCTATCCTTCTTCTATTCTCTTCTCCTTCTTCTCTTATTCTTCTTGCTTGGATCCCCCCTCAAGAGAAATGAGGGGCTATTTATAATTTTTTTGTGGATGGCATGACCCGTAATAGGAGGAGGATCAAGGGCAAAGGTGGAGTGGTTCAGATGGACGTCCGATATTGAATCCCTTGATCGTGGACCATTTGTCAGACATTTGAAAGTCTTAATGATATTGTAATTCGGCGATCTTTTGCTAGTTGGATTCATCTCATCAAGCCGCTTGATTAAACTATAAGCATATCATGTTTGGAAACCGTTTGGTAATCCAAATTGTCGTTCAAACCTTTCAACAGTGCTTCGGGTCCTTGATTCTGACTCATTTGGGCTCAGATCGAGTTGAATTTGGTGTCGTTGGGTTCGTATTTCTAAGACGCTCAGTTCGACTATAAGTATACTCAAATTGGAGTTCAGATGATCCCAAATTTAATTTTTGAAGTTTCCAACTTGATTTTTGCCTCGAGATTCGTGTCCGGTCAAGATAATTTTTTGATGACATATCAAGAATCATAAGAAGCAATTGATTGGGAGTCATGAATGTATGAGTGAGATATAAGATACTCTCAACTGAATATCCGATAAAATATTGATTATTATATGATACTAATTACTGATTATTGATTATTGAATATTGATACAGATTATTGTTATTGCTTATCATTACTAAAAATAGATATTGATACTACTGTATAATTGATGGATTGATGAAGATTATTGAATGATATGATTGAATGAGATTGATTGGATAATAAATACAAAATAATTGATTGATACAGTGACGAGTACATATAACATATATATTTATTTATAGATTTCCTTATATAATTTAGAGCATATTGTTTCTCTTTTAGCTTACATTGATTTCAGTTGTATGATTTTAATTACTTATTGAGTTATTCACTCGTTAATTGATTTTATATGATTTCAGATAAAGGTAAGAAGCTTAAATGTATTGATATTTTAGTTTTTTTTTATTATTATTCTTTTGGTTTATGTAAATTCTTTTGTAGCCTTTGAAGATTATTGTATTTATAATTTTGGACTTTACTCAAAGAATGTAAATATTGACTACTACAATCATGTGAATTATACTATTTATTATTTATTGATTTTCTTTAATGCAATTAATCAACTCCTGTTGTCAAAATGATATGGATGTTTATCAATATGATTATTAAATGAAAGAAAAAAGAAATAGGATGAATTGAACATAAACTAAAGAAGAAAAGAAAAAAAAAATCTTTCACTTTAGATCCAGTGGTGTGATAGAAATTGCGCTGGATGATGGAATATGGAGATTATAAAGATCAAGTATTTATAAGGTGAGTATGAATCAAGATGGAATGCAAAGGTCAAGTAAATTGTAGCCTTGAAGAACTTGTTAGTAGAATGTTGGGTTAAGCTAGTGAATATATTCACTTCCCTCAATTTACAAAATCATGATGTTCATTCTCATGATGAGCTAATTGAGGCATGGAAATAAATATGCTAGGCTTTGAAAGATTTCAAGGCATTCATCACGAAGTAAAATGATCGCGAAGTGGAGACAATTGTTCTTCAACCGAAGAATAAGAAATTAATAGATGTCTCCTACAAAATAGATTGTTATATCCAAAAGCTAAAGTTCAGGCAAGATCTATATCTCAAAGGTTGTGTAAGACTTCAAGAATTCTTTGGTTTATCATTGTGATATGTATCATCATTTATAAGAAGCTCTTAATAGAATACTTGAAGTTTCGTCGAAGGATTGAGTGCATCAGTCTCTCAAAAAGGGTTTTGCTAGAGGGTTCTTAAAAGCAATCTATTTATTGCAACAAAAGACTATGGCCAATATCGAGGAACTATCGCCCGAACAAGTATCAAGAAATTCATCCCCCGCTTTAGAAGATGATGTTAGAAATGATTTGATAAAGACATTATCCATTGATGATATAGAATATGTTGATATCTTATAAATGCTTTATAATGAAAGAATATATCCCTGCATGTGTTATTTTTTCAACCGATTTATGTTTATTCTCCATTTTCATATCTTCATGTATTAATGTATAACTTTGATTAGCCTTTATGAAAGTAAAGCATCACATAAGATGTTAATTTAGTTGTCGTATTTGGCCATTTGGGGAGACAAAACAAAATGTGATCATCCTATATTAATATGAGCAATAATTATGAATTTTGCTAAGAAATCAATAAAATAAAGTTTAGTCAAATTTCTTAAACAGGTAGCCTAGATGCTCTAGTCTGTTTAAAGGAGGGCTAAAAGAAATTATTTTAGAAATTTATTTTGCCCTAGGTTGTTTAGGGCTTTTCCTCGAATCTTAACTCATGACGGGGAAGACAAATAAAAATCCATCAAAAAACTTGTTAACTATTCTTGGTTATTTATCAAAGCTTGACTAAATAACTTGGTATTAGAAGATATCATATTGAACCTCCCTGTGAGTGATCACACCTTAATTGAGAGGTGATCAAAAGTCATATATTTTTCAAATAATAAATGAAGATTAATCTTTATTTAGAAAATTATTCCTGTTAAAGTCACAATTTTGACTTTGCTTAGAGAAGAAAAATTTTAAATACAAAAAATTTGAGAACAAAAAAATAGATTTTATTATTGTGATAATAATGATACTTCTTCAATATCATAAGACAATCTTATATTAAAAAGAAATTAAAGTTACATATTTGACATGCCAAGAGTTGTTGATAATAACTAATACATGTTAAGATTTCATGCATTCCAAGTTCAAGATAGTGTCTTTCTTTGATATTTAAGCTTGAACATTCCCGAGCCACAAGGTCATGTAGAAATAAATTTCTAATAGAAATAGGTCAAAACTAAAGTACCAGGCTTTCTTTGGTGGCGGTAGCCGTCTTGAGAATGGCTGCATCTCGTGTCCTTGACACATTACAA